TCAAGTTTTTCGGGAAAAGGGGGTGGAAAAACGTGGCTGCTGATGCCTTGTCCAAGCAAAAATGAAGGAGCAGAATGTTTGGGCATTACAGTAGTACAGCCAAGATGGGTAGTTGAAGTGCTTGAAAGCTGTGAAAATGATACAGAAGTTTAAGCAATCATTGCACAATTGAGCATTCAACCTACTGGAAACTTGGAAGTCACATTGCAACAGGGAATTCTACACCACCAAGGGAGGATTTGGGTAGGGAGCAATTCTCAACTCAGGCACAAACTAGTTTCTGAGTTTCATACATCGGCTTGGGGAGGCCATTTAGGCGCAAATGCCACTTACCAAAGAATTAAAACTATATTCTATTGGCCTAAGTTGGCGCAAGATGTCAAAGAATTGGTCAAAAATTGTGAGGTTTGCCAACGGAACAAGGATGAAAGTGTGGCTTACCCCGGCCTGTTGCAACCCCTACCCATTCTATCAAGAGCATGGGAACACATTGCAATGGATTTCATCAGTGGTTTACCCAAATCACATGGCAACGACTCAATCTTGGTGGTCATCGATCAATACTCTAAGTATGCCCATTTCTTCTCCCTTACCCACCCCTATACTGCCCCTCAACTTGCCCAGTTGTTTCTTGATAACGTATGCAAACTACATGGCATTCCCTGCTCAATTGTGTTGGATAGAGATCCTATTTTCATGTGCAATTTCTGGCGAGAACTATTTAAAGGACTAGAAGTGCAATTGAAACCAAGATCGGCTTATCACCCACAAACGGATGGCCAATCGGAGAGACTCAATAGATGCTTGGAAACCTATCTCCGTTGCATGACTGGCCACAAACCATCAGAGTGGAGCAAATGGTTACCACAAGCAGAATTTTGGTACAACTCCAATTTTCAATCAGCCATCGGCATGACTCCTTTTAAGGCTCTATATGGCTGTGATCCACCCCTACCCAGTTTTTGAGTTAATTGGCCAGAGCAAGCTTAACTCAGTGGGTCAAGCCTTGAAGGAAAAGCAGCTACTGAATCGCATACTACAAGACAACCTATCCAAGGCTCAGAATCAAATGAAGCTTTATGCAGATTCGAAAAGAAGTGAGAGGACCTTTGAGGAGGGGGATTGGGTATTTCTGAAGTTGCAACCTTACCGCCAATCCACAGTAGCAGTGCAGAAGAATTTGAAGTTGTTAGCCAAGTTTTATGGTCCCTATCAAATTGTGCGCAAAATAGGCAAGGTTGCTTATGAGCTCAAACTTCCTCAAAACTCAAAAATCCACCCAATATTCCATGTGTCTCAGCTAAAGAAGAAGGTGGGTGACAAAACTTTTGTAGCTCAAGATCCCCCATTCTGTACTGAAGAGGGTCCAATCCGCATTGAGCCACTTGCCATTTTGGATAGAAGAATGGTCAAGAAAGGAAATCGTGCAGTCACCAAAGTCCTGGTACAGTGGACTAATTTGTCGCCTGAAGAAGTCACCAGGGAAGATTATTCATTTCTGAAATCTCAATTTCCCAATTTTGATCCATAAAGGGAGAAGACAGAGGATTGGGTTCTTAAGGGGGATGGAATGTAGCGAACAAGGAGACAACTTAGGCCTGGGATAGTTGGGCCACCAAGTGAAGTCAGTTGGGCCATCAGTAGTGATTCACCCTTATTCCTCCTCAGTATACCACCTTTATTACTCATGTTGCGGTGCGCAACCCGATCCCACCATATAATAGCATTTCACCCTTAGTACTCCTCAATATATCACTCTTATTCCTCTTGTTGCAGCGTGCAACCCGATCCCACCATATCAGCACCAATCACACAATACGAACAGGAATTTCACAATTTAGCTCAAAGCTCTACACAATATTTTAAACCTCAAACTAAAGCAAATGGAAAGCTGTACAATTAGGAATCTTCACTCAAATTATACTACTCAGCGAAACCAATCCAAAATATACCATAAAACACCGATAACCGACTTGAGCCAATAACATGAGACAATGAAACTACGGAATAGCTAATAACTTCAACAATGAAAACAAAGTCTAACAAGTAGCAATTAAGCATGGAAATACTAGTGAAATATGCAGCAGTTAAGGTAGGAAACAATATATTATGAACGGGAAGAAAACAAGCAAAATAGCTAAATTGGCGGCGCATAGGTACTCGTCACCTCATTTATATGCCACACACATGGATTTTTCACATAGAAATTAAGTCGAGGATTCCTAATCCCTTGAGTGAAAGTTAGACACAACACTTACCTCGATGCACATGCCATTCACTGCTCAATTACCACTTTTCCTCTAGTTTCCACCTCCGAACCACTCGTATATAGTCATAATCAACTTAATAACATCAATTATATCTAAAGAAATCAATTCCAATACATAATTATAAGTTTCTCAACATTCCCCCCAAAAGGTCAAAAATCGACCTGGGCCCGCTTGGTCAAAACTCGAGGTTCGGACCAAAACTCATTCACCCATTCACCCGCGAGCCCAAAAATTTAATTAGTTCCGGAATCCGACACCAAACCGAGGTCTAAATCCCCAAATTTGCAAAATCCCAAATTTTCTACCCTTAAAGAACAAGATTTAGGACTAGGAATTCAATGGGTGATGATGGAAATTGAAGAAAACGAGTAAAAGAGTGCAAGCCTATGATTTGGTGTTGAATCCCCACTTCAAAAATTGCCCTACCGAGTTCTAGTGATGAAATATGAAATTTGGGAAGAAGTCCCGTTTTTGTTCTGTTTTGAAAATCACTGGACAAGTCTTCATCGCGTTCGCGAGAGACCTGTCGCGACCGCGATGCATAGCGGCCAGAAAGGCCTTCACGTTCGCGAAGAGTTGCACACGTTCGCGATGGTTTGTCCCCCCTGACCTTCGTGTTCGTGAGACTAAGCCCTCTTTCGTGTAGAACAACTCGATGATTCCCATCCCACCTCCAATACACTATGTGTTCGCGTCGAGATGGTCGTGTTCGCGAAGAGCAAACCCCCCAGTGCTCCACATTCGCGACCGAAGCCTCGTGTTCGCGTAGAACGAATACATCCCCAGCCCAGCTTACACTTCGCGTACGCATGAGAAGCATCGCAAACGCGAAGAAGGAAACCAACAAGTGCTGAAGCTGCAGAAAACCAGAATTTTCGTACGTCTAAAACATCTCGAAGCCTATCCGAAACTAACCCTAGCTCTCGCGGCTCCAAACCAAACATGCACAAAAGTCTATCCATAATAACCCAAACTGCATCGAACTTCCTTTGAGTCCGTGGGAGTCCAACAACGAAATCCATAGTGATACGCTCCCACTTCCACTCAGGAATCTCTATCTTCTGAAGCAAACCACCAGGTCTCTGATGCTCATACTTTACTTGCTGACAATTTAGACACCGAGCTACATATGAAACTATATCCTTCTTCATCCTCCTCCACCAATAATGCTGCCGCAAGTCCTAATACATCTTAGCGGCGCCCGAATGAATAGAATACCGAGAACTGTGGGCCACCTCTAGAATCAACTCATGAAGTCCATCCACATTAGGCACACAAACACGACCCTGCATCCTCAAAACTCCATCATCTCCAACCGTAACCTACTTGGCATCACCGTGCCGCACTGTATCCCTAAGGACAAGCAAATGCGGGTCATCATACTGTCGCTCCCTGATACGCAAGGAAGACCGAGCGACTGTGCAAGCTAAAACATGACTGGGCTCAGAAACATCCAACCTCACGAACTGATTGGACAAGGCCTGAACATCTAATGCAAGCGGTCTCTCACCGACTGGAATGCACGCAATGCTGCCCATACTATCTGACTCCCTACTCAAAGCATCGACCACCATATTGGCCTTCTCGGGATGATACAAGATGGTGATATCATTGTCTTTCAATAGCTCCAGCCACCTCCTCTGCCTCAAATTGAGCTCCTTCTGCTTGAACAAATACTGCAAACTCCTATGAACCGCGAATACCTCACACGACACGATAGTGCCTCCAAATCTTCAGCGCGCTGACAATGGCTGCCAAATCTAAGTCATGAAATAGATAATTCTTCTCGTGAATCTTTAGCTGCCGTGAAGCATATGCAATAACCTTGTCACCCTACATCAATACCGCACCAAGTCCAATACGAGATGTGTCATAATATACTGTATAAGGCCCTGAACCTGTGGGCAATACCAACACCGGTGCCGTAGTCAAAGTAGTCTTGAGCTTCTAATAGCTCGCCTCACACTCGTCTGACCATCAGAACGGGGCACCCTTCTGGGTCAACCTGGTCATCGGGGATGCTATAGATGAGAACCCCTCCACAAACCGACGAAAATAACCTGCCAATCCTTAGAAACTCCGGATCTCTTTAGTGGATGTGGGTCTAGGCCAGTCTTTGACTGCCTCGATCTTCTTATGATCCACCTGAAAACCCTCTGCTGATACAACGTGACCCAAGAAAGCAATTGTACTCAACCAAAGCTTGCACTTTGAAAACTTAGCATATATAACTGGATGTCTCTCAAAGTTCGAAGAACGACCCGAAGATGCTGCTCATGCTCCTCTCGACTGCGGGAGTAGATCAAGATATCATCAATAAAAACAATCACAATAGAATCCAGATAGGGCTTGAACACCCGGTTCATCAAATCCATAAATGCTGCTGGGGAATTTGTCAGCCCAAATGACATCACCAGAAACTCATAATGCCCATACCGAGTCTTAAAAGTTGTCTTAAGGACATCGGATACCCTAATCCTCAACTGAAGGTAACCAGACCTCAAATTGATCTTTGAAAATACCTTGACACCCTGAAGCTGATCAAATAAGTCATCAATCCTCGGCAATGGATACTTGTTCTTGATGGTGACTTTGTTTAACTGCCGTTAATCTATGCACATCCTCATCAATCCATCCTTCTTCTTTACAAATAACACGGGTGCCTCCCAAGGCGAGACACTGGGTCTAATAAAGCCCTTATCAAGTAAATCTTGCAACTGCTCCTTCAACTCTTTCAACTCTGGCAGGGCCATAAAGTATGGCGGAATAGAAATGGGCTGAGTGCCCGGAGCCAAATCAATGCAAAAGTCAATATCCCTGTCGGGTAGCATCCCTGGCAGGTCTGCAGGAAATACCTTTGGGAACTCCCAAACAATTGGTACAGAATCCATGGAAGGAACTTCCGCACTAGAATCACAAACATAAGCCTAATAAGCCAAACACCCCTTCTCGACCATACACCGAGCCTTCATATAAGAGATAACCCTATTGGTAGAATGACCATGAGTCCCCCTCCACTCTAATCGAGGAAACCCCAGCAGTGCTAAGGTCACGGTCTTGGTGTGACAGTCCAATATAGCATGATAAGGTGACAACCAATCCATCCCCAAAATAACATCGAAATCAACCCATATCGATAAGTAGGAGATCTACGCTAGTCTCAAGACCCCCAATAATAGCCAAACACGAACGATAGACACGATCTACAACACCCCCACCGGTGTGGAGACATACACGAGAGCACTCAAAGAATCATGAGGTACAACTAAATATGAAGCAAAGTAAGATGACACATAGGAGTATGTAGACCCTGGATCAAATAGAACTGAAGCATCTCTATTGCAAACTGAAATAGTGCCTGTGATAACGATATCGGATGACTGAGCCTCAGGCCTGGATGGGAAAGCATAACAGCGGGGATGGGCCCCACCACTCTGAATCATATTTCTGGGATGGCCTCTTGCTGGCTGGCCTCCACCTCTAGCAGCCTGGCCTCCACCTCTAACGGCCTGACCTCCACCTCTAGCGGCCTAACCTCTACCTCTGGCTCCCTAACCCCTACCTCTAGCTGGCTGAGCGGGACGTGCCGAAATCATGGCACGAGAACCCTGCTGCTGTGGTGGAATGCCCACTAATCTCAGACAGGTCCTCCGGATATGCCCATATTCACCACACTCGAAACATCCATCTTAATACTGCGGCTGTGGAAACTGAGACTGACCCTGACAAGCTGACTGACCACGATAATAACTCTAAAGAGGAGGTGCTCTGATAGGAGTTAGTGGTGCACTATAAGTTGGCTGCCCTGAAGGAGGTACATAAGGACCACGACTCCCTGAAGCTCCATGGGACATCTGAAGTGCTGAATGAAACTGCCTGGGAGGATGCCCCCTACCAAAAGTACCCCGACCTCCAGATGAGGCCCCACTGAATCCATCGGAGTGACACGGCCTCTTGTCAGACCCCTGACCACTCCCCTGAGATAGAACCATTCCAACACTTCTGGCCACATTGGTTGCATCCTGGAAAGAAATCTAACTCCCTGTCTCCTTAGTCATCTGCAATCTGATAGGCTAAGAGAGTCCCTCAATAAACCTCCTCACCCTCTCTCTCAGTAGGAAGTATAAGAAGAGCATGAAGAGCCAAATCAATAAAGTGGATCGCGTACTGACTGACGGACATTCTGCCCTGCTGAGACGCTCAAACTGCCTGCGATAGTCCTCTCTCAGTGTAACAGGAAGGAACTTCTCGAGAAATAGCTAAGAGAACTGGTCCCAAGTCAAATCAGGCTACCCAACTGGTCTTGTCAACACAAAATCATTCCACCATCTTTTGGCGGAACCTGACAGATGAAATGCAGCAAAGTCGATCCCACTGGTCTCCACTATCCCCATGTTACGTAACACCTCATGACAACTGTCCAGATAGTCCTAGGGATCCTCTGAAGATGTACCGCCATAGTGAATTGGGAAAATCTTGGTAAACATATTCAATCTCCACATAGCCATATAAGACATAGATGACCCATCATCGGTATGTACTACAACACCCGGCGGGTTTACCCCAATGGGCTGAGCTACTGGAGTCTGAAACTGAGGAGCCATCTGCTCCGGAGTGTGGGTAGCGGGAGTTTGTGCTCCTCCCCCAGCCCGAGAGACGTCTGGTGATACAGGGAATATGTCGGTCTAAGCAACACTCTCTATAAGGCCCACTAGACGGGCCAAAGCATCCTGAAGTACCGGGGTAGCGATGAACCCCTCTGGAATCTGAGCTGGCCCTGCTGCAACGGTCTGGGTTGGAGCCTCCTCATCAAACTCTACCTGAGGCTCCGCCACTGGTGCTGTTGCTCGAGCTCTAGGCTGAGCCTTGCCCCAGCCTCGGCCTCGTCATCTGCCCCTCATAGGAGCTGCCACTGGGGGCTCTGGCTGCTGCTCAGCTGATGAAGCGGTACGTGTTCTCGCCATCTGCAAAGGAACAAGAGTAGAGAGTTCAATTAGCATTGAGAGATCAAATCGCACGACAGAGAAGAATAGAAGTGAAATTGTTCCTAAACTCTGTATCCTCTAGGGATAAGCACAGATGTCTCCGTACCAATCCCTCTGACTCTACTAAGCTTGTCCGTGAATTTTGAGACCTAGGCAACCTAGTGCTCTGATACCAACTTGTCACGACCCGGAATTTTCACCATCGGGACCGTGATGGCGCTTAATATCACGCTTTCTAGGCAAGCGAACGTTAGAGTTTTATTAATCAATTTCCATTACGTTTCAATGATTAAATGTAAACGAACCAAAACAGGTATAAATAATTGCGGAAGTAAGTAACAAGCCTCTTTGTTAATAAACTATTACCACAACTATTACTACTACTACTACCCAGAATCCGGTGTCACAATCCATGAACATACTATGATTTTTCCACAAACATCAGTCTGAAACAAAGTACAACTGTTTTGAAAATAAAGTAAAACAGTAATGTAGAGAGGTAGAAGGGGACGCCAGGGCCTGCGCTCGTCAGCAGGATTACCTTGGGTCTCCACACTGTGTAACCTGAAGCCAACCTCTCAATCAGCCACTGCCTGTTCAGAAATATGCACAGAAAGTGCAGACTGCAGTATCAATACAACTGACCCCATGTACTGGTAAGTACCGAGCCTAACCTCGATGAGGTAGTGACGAGGCTACGGCGGGGCAATTACAATAAAACCTGCATATAATGTATAATAAACGCAGAAAGAAGAACGGGACAAAACAAAACTGTAACTTTCAAGGAACGAATATAGAACTCAATTATCTCATCAGAACCCAGCTATAACCAATCCTTATGTGAAATGCAAAACTACAGAATAACTTCACAGGAGAAGAACAATACATAAACTGATGCGGCGTGCATCCCGATCCAACCATATAATCAATATCAATATGACTATTCACCCTTATTACTGTATATCAATCCACCCTTATTCCTCCTGTTGCGCGTGCAACCCGATCCCACCGTAGAATAGTGATTCGCCCTTATTCCTCCTCAATATACCACCCTTATTACTTCTGTAGTGGCGCGCAACCGATCCCACCATATAATAGCATTTCACCCTTATTACTCCTCAATATAACACCCGTATTCCTCCTGTAGCGACGTGCAACCCGATCCCACCATATTAGTACCAATCACACAATAAGAACGGGAATTTCACAATTTAGCTCAAAGCTCTCCACAATATTTAAAACTCAAACTAAAGCAAACGGAAACCTGTACAATTAGGAAGCTTCACTCAAATTATACTACTCAGCAAAACCAATCCAAAATATACCATAAAACACTGATAACCGACTTGAGCCAATAACATGAGACAATGAAACTACGAAATAGCTAATAACTTCAACAATGAAAACAAGGTGTAACATGTAGCAATTAAGCATGCAAATACTAGTGAAATATGTAGCAGTTAAGGCAGGAAACAATATATTATGAATGGGAAGAAAACAGGCAAAACAACTAAATTGGCGGCGCATAGGTATTCGTCACCTTACCTATACGCCATACACATGGATTCTTCACATAGCAATTAAGTCGGAGATCCAAAATCCCTCGAGTCAAAGTTAGACACAACACTTACCTCGATCCACAAGCCACTCACTACTCAATTACCGTTTTTTTTTCTAGTTTCAACCTCCAAACCACTCGTATCTAGTCATAATCAACTTAATAACATCAATTACCGCTAATGAAATCAATTCCAATATATAATTATAAGTTTCCCAACATTTTTCCCAAAAAGTCAAAACCGACCCTGGGCTCGCTTGGTCAAAACTCGAGGTTCGGACTAAAACCCATTCACCCATTCACCCCCGAGCCCAAATATATAATTAATTCCGGAATCCAACCCCAAGTCGAGGTCTGAATCCCCAAATTTGTAAAATCCCCAGTTCTCCCAAAATTCCTAATTTTCTACCCTTCAAGAACAAGATTTAGGACTAGGAATTCAATGGGTGATGATGAAAAGTGAAGAAAACGAGTTAAAGAGTGAAAACCTATGTTTTGGTGTTGAATCCCCTCTTCAAAAATCGCCCTAGATCGAGTTCTAGTGATGAAGAATGAAGTTTTGGAAGAAGTCCCGTTTTTGTTCTGTTTTGAAAATCACTGGACAGGTCTTCATCGCGATCGCGATGCACAGCGGTCAGAAAGGCCTTTGCGTTCGCGAAGAATTGCACGCATTCGTGATGGTCTGTCCCCCCTGACCTTTGCGTTCGCAAACCTAGACCCGCGTTCGCGTAGAACAACTCGATGATTCCCAGCCCACCTCCAATACACTAGGCGTTCGCGTCAAGCCGGTCGTGTTCGCGAAGAGCAAACCCCACAGTGCTCCATGTTCGCGACTGAAGCCTCGCGTTCACGTAGAACGAATCCATCCCTAGCCTAGCTTACACTTCGCGTTCGCGTGAGTAGCACCGCGAACGCAAAGAAGGAAACCAGCAAGTGTTGAAGCTGCAGAAAACTAGAATTTTCCTAAGTCTAAGACACCCCAAGCCTATCCGAAACTCACCCTAGCCCTCGGGGCTCTAAACCAAACATGCACACAAGTCTAAAAATATCATACGGACTTGCTCATGCTATCAAATCGCCAAAATAACACCTAGAACTACGAATTTAGCAACAAATTGAATGAAATTTTCAAGAAAGTTTTAAAACTTCTAACTTCTCAACCGGACATCCGAATTACGTCAAATTAATTCTAACCAAATTTTACAGATAGGGTATAAATATCATAACGGACTTGTACTGGGCTCCGAAACAAAAATACGGACCCGATACCAACAAGATCAAATTTTACCAAATATCTTTAAACCATTATAATTTAAATCTTTCAATTTTAATCAAAAATTCATATCTCGAGCTAGGGACATCGGAATTTGATTCCGGGCATACACGCAGGTCCCATACTTTACTACGGACCTACCGGGATCGTCAAAATATGGGTCCGGGTCCGTTTACTCAAAACGTTGACCGAAGTCAACAAAATCAATATTTTAGGTAAAAAATTATTATTTCATCAATTTTCCATATAAAAGCTTTTCGGAAACGCGCCCGGACTGCTCACACAAATCAAGGAGAAATAAAATGAGGTTTTGAAGGCCTCGAAATACGAAATCGTGTTCCAAAACATAAGATGACCTTTTGGGTAATCAGATTCATTTTCCTCCATTTCTTTTCCCACCATTATCCATTCACACCTCTTTTATTTTGATTAACAAAACCCAAAAAACAAACCATGTCAAATTATGATTTGAGTTAATTAGAATAGGTGCAAATTATCTTAAACATTCAAACCATTCAGATAAAAATATTTGATAATCATTAGATATTAATTAAGAAGCAGGACATACAATTATTTCCCAAATTTCATAGTAGATTAACTTATTTTCTTTTTCTATATCTATGTCAATCCAGCCATTAGATATTAGTAGTTGCATTTACTTTCGGTTTGCAGTCAATATTAAAGAATACTAAACGTGTCAGATCATAATATATCTTTTTTGAGCATATTATCATGTTGATTTAAACAAAATTCTTACTATCACTTTATTTTTCATCTCAAGTTCAAATAAGCTAAGCATTATCCTTTTATATTTTCATTGTTTTATTTTCTCTTTTTGTTCATTCCTTATAGTTATTGCATTACTTATTATTTAATGAGTATTGTTATAATGTCGGGTGATATTTTATTAGCTTACAATTGACTAAATATCTTTCTTATTGCCCTTTTAATAATCCTCGATAAATAATACTTTTTCCCTCTTGCATATCTCACCATCAAATGCCAATAACAAATTTAGAGAGGTAATTATGGGACTCTATTTATGTCACGTGAGAAAATTTGGGCGGCATAAAATCTTGTGGGGACCAAGAGAGACCTTGAGGTAGCAAAGGATATTTTTATTTTTCATTATTAGATCACAAGTTGCAGTACTAGGAAAGATGGGATACGAGGAATAAAAGATGTGACGAGATTTCAACACTGGAAAAGATAAAAATCAATAACCTATTGATAATTAACGCCTAATGTTTGAGGAGAATTTCGTTGATAATTTTATCTATGTTCACATAAGAAGATCCTGTTGTTTTTGTAGCAGCTTCTTCAGCCAATTTCTTCCATTTCAATACCTTTTTCTTCATCTCTTTGCCTCTATCTCCGGCAATGACCTCTCTCACAAGACTTTCAACTTTGTCCCTCTCCACATTACTGTCGATCTCCATTCCGATTCCCAATTTGGTGCAACAAAACCAACAGTTAGTCGGCTGCTCTGCAAAGAACGGCCAACAAATCATTGGCACCCCACAACTAATACTTTCAAGAGTCGAATTCCATCCACTGTGAGTCAAGAAACCTCCTATTGCAGGGTGGCTAAGGACTTGTTCTTGTGGACACCAACTTGCTAACATCCCTCTTTCTTTAGTTTCTTCCAAGAATTCGGATGGTAGAATTGCTTGTTCCCCTGATACAATATCAGGCCTTATGATCCATAAAAATTCCATCTGGCTATTGGCAAGTCCCCAAGCGAATTCGATAAGTTGGTTCTTAGTCATAACAGCAATGCTTCCAAAATTAACATAAACAACAGAATTTTGTTCCTTGGAATCTAGCCATTCTACACACTTTTGATCTTCTTTCCAAAGATTTAATTCTAACTCCTCCAAATTCTTGTCATCAACATGTTTCTCAAGCAAATGCAATGGTCCAATGGCATACACTGGAGGAAGTAGTGTTTGAAGTGATTCAAGAACTTCCTTCTCTAATGGCTCAAATGTATTGACAACTATAGCTGAAGCATTTTTGGATCTCTCTGTTTCTTGGAGTAGAAATTTAATCATATAATCATCTGGATTTGCAGTTCTAATAAAACTTGGAAGATCCCTCAGACGTATGTCCTTCATGCCTGGTATCCAATCCAAAGTCTTCTCCAAATACCCATTTGTCAAATAACTTTTATCTACAAGAAAAAGAATGTAATGAGACACATACTTAAAAAAAAACATATGCAATTGAAACAGACCATTTAAAAACATGTATACCTTTAAGTGGAATGTATCCTTTTTCAATAAGGTTACAGTAATGCATATAACCTAATAAACCACAAGCACTTGGGGTCCAAAAGAAAACTTGAGGGATGCCAAAATCTCGAGCAACAGCTAGAGTGAAGCTCATAACACCATCAGAAACGATATACGAAATGGGTGGCACGTTGGATGAAGAAGTATTATTGAGCTTGGCAAGCAACTCTTTGAAAGGAACTAAACAAGTAGTGGTAAGGGATTTAGACAGAGAAACAATATCTTGAGTTGAATCAGCATCAGATGGTGGGAGGCCGTCTGGGATGGTTTCGAAACAAAAGGATGGCAACCCTTTGAGGGAATCAGGACCGCGAGACTTAAGGAGACGCCTCTGATTGTATTCAGTGTTGACAAATGTTATATGAAAGCCTCTGTAATGGAGGATTTTGGCTAACTTTAACATTGGATTGATGTGACCTTGGGCAGGAGCTGGTACGCAAATTGCATGAGGCATGTCAAGTTTAGCATACTTGGAAGCCATTCTTTCGATTCTCTCAAACTGGAAACGGAAGATATGTATGGTTTTGTCATGTGGAAGAATATGTGGATATATACACTTATAGATGAGATAAGAATAATAAATGCAGCATGCAAGAATTCAGAAGCCAATAAACTCAAAATAGAAAGATGGAACTTGGAAAATTACTCAAATTTTAATTGAAATCAGCTGCCAACGCATAGATCAGATCATGCGAAGCCATTCAAGGAACTTTAGAGTTCAAATTGGAGTTATATTAATTTAGTTTATGAAAATAAAATTTAAATGTTAAGAAATTAAGCAAAAATTATTTACCCATAATTCCGTCCTAATTATTAGTTTGGTCGTCTTTCTTTTTTCATTTTTTTCTTAAAAGATTGATATACCATTTCTATATTTAGTTATTTACTATTTCCTTCTCATTTTAACTATCCTTTTACCTCTTTTCACGTCCATTAAAAAAACCATTATAGTTTAATAAGTTACCCTATTAATTACTGTTTTAGAATTGTGTAGTATTAAAAAATGGAAAAGAGTCAAAACTATCCCTGAACTATTGGCTTAGGGCTACAAATATCATTCGTCCACCTATCCTTCTAAAAATGCACTTGTCGTCTATTCTTTGGCCCATTTCTACCCTTCTGACTAACAGTCAACACTAAATACAAAAACAGTTTATACAAATACCATGTGGCATTTTCTCATTGGTTGAATGTAAAACCCCGGCTCCAATTAAAAAATTTACCCGGATATAAACATTTTCGGACCCATATGCCAAATCTAATTGTTTTTTTTTCGTTTTTTAATTGTTTTATTAACCAAGCTCTAGAATTTCAGCAATGAATTCTTCTTCCTAGTCTCTAGTTTTCAGATCAGGAATACTTGACTCCCAGCTCAATAATAAAATCAAATCAATTTTAGGCATCAAGTCGGCAAAGAATTCGAAATCGCAAACCAAATTAGAGCTTGAACATAACAATAATGGTGGGTTCAAATTTCTTTCTCAATTTTCGAATCTCAGCGGCAACTAAGGAATTAAAACTACTTGATTTTTAGCTTCAATCCACTAACACAATCCTCATATCTGCTCAGGAACTGAACGTCGAATTTCACAGTATTAACCAAAAACAATATTTTTTCAAGTCAACTGGGTCGCTCGAAAAAAAATAACTTCAATATTTCTCAAGCAACAGATAAAGTTGTAACCAGTTAAATTTACTTTTTATAAGTAATTTTCAATGAAACTTCAAAAATCCATTTAGCAAATGGGTTGTAGAAGTTTTTCCAACGGTGATAAACGAGAACAGTGAATAAGTATCTTTTTGGATTTTTTTGTTTTTCTTTTGTTGTAATTATGTCAAGTTAAAACTAAAAAAATTATAGGAATAATCCTTTAGCCTAAACTCTTGATATCAAATGACAACAACGGATGAATTTTTTAGGGTTTGGCTTTGAATTTGAGTCTGAAAACCTTAACATTTGGGTGGGTTTACTTAAATAGGGTCAAGGTTTTAAATTCGACCAATGAGAAAAAGTCACGTGGTATTTGTATACTTTTTATTCATTTAATGTTGACCGTTAGTCAAAAGGGTAGAAATGGGCCAAAAAAAAAAATGGCAGGTACATTTTTAGACCGATAGGTGGACGTAGGGTATTTTTAGCCCTAAGCCAATAGTTCAGGGATAGTTTGACCCTTTTTCAATTAAAAAATATTAGTACTTCTTTAATAATAAGGGTATAGTTAGTAAAAAATTACCAAAGTTAATATTGAATTCTTAAGGTAACAATTATTTAGGGACAAATTTTTTGAACTAAAGTGACAGTTAAAATAAGACGGAGGGGGTATAACTTTTTAATTACGCTTCTTCCTATATTGACGTTATTTGTTGTATATTCCCAATGTAGACAACGTCCGTACTTTTGGTACAACAAGGGTGGTTGGATTAATTTAAATTTTATATATTAGTCAAACTAATTTATAAAGTGTTTGATATCTTTAAAAGTATTTATAAGTTAAAATTAATTAAAAATCACAGAAACACTTTTGATTCGAACATATTTTTACTATTTTATCCATAAGTATTTTTGTAATTTCCAAATTACATTTCCCCCAAAAAACTCCTAAATCTCTCTTCATTCTATTTCTTACATTCGTCCTTCGCCGCTTACCACCTGACAAAGATTTGTCACTATTTTATCCCTAACGTCGTATGGTTGCTCGTGATATATTTAATATGAGATTTTTAATTATCACAATTGAATGTTTTATCCTTATAACATACTAATAGTTTATGGTTTTGGGATAGGAAGCTTTTGTTTGAAGTCTCATACAATCATATATTATGTCGTGTGACGATTTAATCTACTAAAGAATCCATATCTCATGGAGCGTTTATAAGTGTGACGACCCAAAGGGTCATCACCGGATTTCTCTCTCTTTCCGTGCTTCCGAGACCTTGAAAACCTCACCTTTAGTTGTCTCGATTTGCGTGCGCAGTCCGGGCGCGCAGCCAGAAAGATTATATGTTAAATTCTGTGAAAAATTTCAAAATGTGGCTTTAAAATGATTAAAGTTGACTTCGGTCAACATTTTTGGTAAACAGACCCGGACCCGTGATTTGACGGTCCCGGAGGGTCCGTAGAAAATTATGGGACTCAGGCATATGCCCGGAGTCGAATTCCGAGGTCTAGAGCCCGGGAAAAAGAATTTTTCTGTTTAATTGTTTTTCTGAAATTATTAAGGAAAATGGAAATGAAAATTGATTAAAAGACTATGGTATCGGGCTCGTATTTTGGTTCCAACGCCCGGTACAGGTCTTAAATATGTGTTAAGCGCTTTCTGTGAAGTTTGGTCGGAATCGGACGTCATTTGACGTATTTCGGACCTAATTATCTAAACTTGGAAATTTATGAAGTTAGAAATGAAAATGATGATTTTGAGGCTTGATTCATTGATTTTGATGTTGTTTTGGCGATTTGATCGCTCGAGTAAGTTCGTAGGATGTTATTGAGTTAGTGTGTGTGATCGGTTAGGAGCCCCGAGGGCTCGGGAGTGAATCGGAGGTGGTTCGGGGTGTTTGGCAGCAGATTTTTCTGCAATTTTTGCCCAGATAATTTGTTCTTCGCGAACGCGGCCTCAAGCTCGCGTTCGCAGTGCCCTGTCAACTTCCTCTTCCGCGTTCGCGACCCTCTTTCCCGCGTTCGCGTAGCCCCTTCAAACCCTTCAACGCGTTCGCATCTGCCTACTCGCGTTCGCGTAGGCCATTTGCCCAGGGCCCCAGCTTTCCTTCTTCGCGTTCGCGTGCTCTCAATCGCGAACGCGATTCCCCCAGTTCATCTTCATCGCGAACGCGTCCTTGATGTCACGATCGCGAAGGGTAAATCCCTTCAGTGATTTTTTTTAAAAAAAAGTTCAAAACAGTAGCAGCACGGGATTTTCCTCATTTTTCCACACGAACTCTTCTCCCTAACACCCCATAGACGATTTTGAAGAGCCTTTTCCTCCACAGCTTCTTAGGTAAGTGTCCTTAACTTCATTCTCTCTTAATTTCTTTATCTAATCACTAATTTCCTAGCCCTAAATCATGAATTCAAAGTAGAAATTAAGGGTTTTGGTAGAGTTAGGGTTTTGGGAATTTTGGGTGATTCAACCTCAATTTGGGGTCGAATCTTAAAACAAATTATATATTTGAACTCGTGGGGTTATGGGTGACTAGGTTTTGGTCCGAGCCTCGTGTTTGGACCATGTGGACCCGGTGTCTAAATTTGGTATTTTTGGAAGAATGTTAGGAAATTCATATCTAGGCTATGGGATGTTGCCATTGAGTCTTTATTGATATTATTGAATTAATTATGCCTAGATATCATTATTTCGGAGTCGGATTGTAGAGGAAAGGCGGTATTTGAGGATTGATTGCTATTCTTTGGACCGAGGTAAGTGTTTGATCTAACTTTGGCTTGAGGGAATAGGATTAGAGTGTTATTAATTGCTAAATGATCGAGTACGGTGTATAGGCATGGTGACGAGTATCTATACACCGGTGTCTAGCATGACCGTGGGTCCTTGTTTGCACGTATTTCTGATATTTTTGAGACTCTTCTATGCTAATTGATGAATTCTACATAATGTGAAGGGTTTGAGGATTGGTTATGAATTGTAAATTCTTTGGAGCGTTGGCTCGAACAATAAAAATACTATTGAGTAAGAAATGAAAGAAATGGAAAGAGATATGATCAGTCCCTTGCCGGGATGGTGTTAGTATATTGATTATCTCCCTTGCCGGGATGTGAAAGTTGTTGTTGTTACTCCCTTGCCGGGACATTTCTTATTATTTGCTTATTCCCTCGCCCGTTTGGTTGTGATTGTTGTTTGGGTGAGGAAGAGTGATAATGCACGAAGGGTCATTCCGTGCCATGTTTTGATTATATTTGCACGAAGGGTCATTCCGTGCCATGTTTTGATTATTTATGCACGAAGGGGCATTCCGTGCTCTGATTTTGACTATAATTGCACGAAGGATCATTCCGTGTCATGAAATGAGAGTTATGTGAGGAAAAGCACGAAGGGTGATGCCGTGCATTCTATTTGATTGTTTTTGATGAGAATGAGAGTAAAAGCACGAAGGTTGATGCCGTGCAACTGTTGATTCTCCTGTTTTTGTTAATTATTGTCATTGCAATGTTTCTTACATAAGTTGATGACTTTATATCCGGATTGTACTCCCCCATAGCATGCTTCCCTCCCTAGTTAACTGTTTAATTTCGGTATTCTTTCCTTTATTGCATATATATATATTGAACTGCACAGGTTGACTTGGTAGTCCTGTCTAGCCTCGTCACTACTTCGCCGGGGTTAGGCCAGGCACTTGCCAGCACATGGGGTCGGTTGTGCTGATGCTACACTTCTGTGCTTTTTGCACAGATTACGGTACCGGAGCAGCTCTTGGACCACAGCAGTAGTTGATCGGGAGCCCTCTTCAGTCCAGGGACTTTCGAGGTAGCCTAGCTGGCGTTCGCAGGCCGAAGTCCCTTTCCATATTTTCTGTTTGTTTTCATTGTGCCGAGATAGACATTATGTATTTTTCTATTCGGACTTGTTTGTAGCACTCTTTAGTGGTTCGTGAGACAGCGACTCCAGTCTTGGGTAGTAAAATATTAGACTTCCACATTTTGGGTTTTTCAGTTATTTATGTTTTAAAAGACTTCCGCATTTATTTAAAGACTCATTATTTTATTATTGTTATGTTGTTATCCGAAATGTTTAAATGTTTGGCTTGCCTAGCTCCAACAGTAGGCGCCATCACGACTCCCGATGGTGGAAAATCCGGATCGTGACAATAAGACTATCCTTGAAAATTGAATCAACTAGTTAATAGCCAGTTTCAGGGTATTGCATTGGGACACAATTGGGATAGCATTGATTCAGCTATATATGTGTAGGAAAATTACCTTTCAGAAGCTTATCTTTGTACATTAACCGAGCCTCCTTTTATATATCTGTGTTAAACCTAATAAATATTACAGGTAGCTGTAGAAATGGTAGGTGTGTAGGGGGAGGTGTGGTCATTTCTCATTAGTGTTATATCTATCTCCAAAACTGACTAGCTTGGGAGAGGAGTCCAGAACTTTTTTATTTTCTTTTTGGACAAATGTTCCGTTAATGAGTGTAAAAAAAAGTTACTTTTCTTTATATAACGCTGAAATTCTCCGCGATATACCTTAACAGTAACTTTTGCCGTTAAGGTATAGCGCGGAGAATAAGCACGCTATAACCCTGACAATTTGAATGCCAAGAATAGCGCATAGAAATCAAGCGCTATACCTATAGCGCGCTATACCCCTTATTTTAATCCCCTTCGTCTTCTCCAAGACCAGAACTCCCTCCTCCCCCATTTTTTTACTTCCTTTCGATTCTG